GTGCACGTAGAGATGGCGCTGGGAACGCGAAGCTCAAAAAAAATATACAGTCTATATAGAAAGCAAGTGACGGTAGTAAAATATTTTGTTTGATCAATTTGTCTGTTAAAACATACCATTGATTGTTCCATTTCAATCCAACTCCACAAAATAGCAAAATACAAGTTGCAAAGCATTCAATGACTTGTTACAAGAAATGTGAACAATCTGACAAGCAATGTAGCGTTACATCGCTCCTTAAACGACCGACTGATGTGTGATTTTTGACTCACTGTAACAAATCACACAATTACCAAACAATACATTCATTTTTTATACCGTACATAGTTTCCCACCGCATCGAACGTTACTTTCGGCAGTCGTGTGACGATCGTATGTTTTTCACAGTCTTTGCATATACCGGCCGAATGTGATAAGAAAGCGTGATGACACGCTCACATTAAATTGAATTTGAACAAGTTTTATTTAATTTCCATCACAATCGCGTGTACTGTGCTTTCCACACTCTAACACGTTTGTTATTATTTGAACTCACATACGGCTTGAATAACATGCAACACCTCTTCACACACTCCAATCAAACGACAACTATTTTCATCGTTTTTTTTCGATTCGGTTGGTGTTTTTTTCGCCATTTTGAGATAAAGTTATTTTTTCCGTATTTTAATTACGTCGGGCAAAAAAAATACACAAGCTCAATTGATGATGATGAAAAAACGAACTCACAGAAAAAATATCAATTTCGAAAAATTGTGTTTGCATTTTGAATTTTATGCGTGTCACTGTTTGCGTCGCTTTACAGACTGTTTTTCAAAATTTACTGCGATAAAGGCTTGGATTTTTTTTTTGTGCCGATGAATGTGATTCTTGAGTTTAATGTGAGAAAAAATTGTCACGATGACTTTTGAAAAATTGTATTTTTTTCTAGATTGAAATCAGTTTTTTCATCTTTTAATGACAAAGTGACTTGTTTGTAAAAAAAGGAAATATGAACGTATGGTGAAACGCGTGTGAATATGAATGTATGGTTTTTGTGTTATGAAAACTACAGTTTAGAAAAGAGAAAAGAAAGTTTATGTAAAGTAGATGGATCTATCATCTCATTTCATCTCATAAATGCACTTATTTAACCAAACGTATCAAAATTTCACTCAAATTCCTTTCGAAACTTTCTTTGAATTCTATGTGATTTCAAATTCAAACTTTTACACATACCGTCATAAATGGTGCCAATTTTTATAGAAACTGTGCAATGGTCATTACTAACATTCGTAATCTGAAGACTTTTTTGAATCAAATATTTACAAATATTGAGTTCAACTTGGTAATAAGAGTATTTAAAAGGCACACAAAGAGTATGTCATGACCTCTTCAGCTTTTTTGCAAATACCTTTTATCCAAACAAGTTTTAAGTGTGATTTAAAATCCCAGAGTTGTTTATTGCGAGAAAAGCTGTCATTTAAACCTTCTTTCATATAAACGGTGTCATCAGACTGTGTCTACCACCAAAGTTCATTTCAAAGGCCGGTTGCCAACGGTGGACAAATTACCTGTGCCACTCAATACTTTTTATGAAAGACCCTCTAAATATGAAGCCGATTTGACCAATAATTGAGAGAGCACACTTTCTGCAAATGAGAGAGGAAGATTATTGCAATAAAGAACATTCAATTACGGACATAAAAAGTATCTTTAGTAGATGATTTTGCAATCGATTTTAAAGGAAAATTTTAAACACCAAAAAGTCTCTTAATTATATACTGTCACTCGCCCATTGACTGACGTGCATCATGTAAATATCAAAACCAAATGTTGCACCTTCCATTCTCAATCAGTTAAGGAAAGAAGAAGTTGTGATATTTAATATGGATGCACTGGCATTCATTTGTAACAGTCAGATACAAAATATTGTCATTTTTCAAGTTGTATCACATTTCGTAATTTTACTTTGCGAGATGATCCAAATATCAAAAAAATATATACAAAACCGCAATTTGTCTGTGACACAAACTCTGTGCCCGATTGATTCGATTTGCTTTGGTGCAATCTCAAAGAATTGAAAAAGTCAACTTTTTACATTTAAATTTTGAATTACCTTTCATTCCAATCGCGAATCAATGCCAATCGACATTCAGACTCATGTGAGTTGTTTTTGGGTGTTGCATTTTATCTGAAATCAGCTTTAGCTTTGAAAAGCCTTTCTAAATAATAAATGTTTTCCCCTTTCTAAGTGTGTGCAAAAAAAGTCTTCGACAAAAAAGAAAGAAAGACCAAGAAAATGAAGAACCATCGAAATTAGGATGTAAAAAAGTGGCGATTTTATTATTATTATTCATAAACTTAAAAAAAATCAATTAACACTAAATGTTTAAACTAAAAATCTCTTATTTTAAGTGTCATTTTCAAAGTAATAAACTAATTGTGATCGAAATAAAGAATCGTATCTTAATTATATGCATAAAAAAGTTTAACTGGTGGTAAATTGAGAATTTCATAACTGCGATCGATGTGCTTAAAATATGGTTGTAAAAAGTCAAGAATTTTGCTGCGATATTGATAGACCAAGAATTTTCCTTCGGGTTTCAAGATGGATTTGGTTGCAATCATAATTTGGTTGGCGACTTCTTGGGGCATAGTTGAAAATGGAATTGAAGAAATAATGTAATCGGGTTGTCCCAATTTGTTTTCACGTAGCACCTCTTCAACATCAGCAGCTGAGCGATCGGATGCAATTAAACGGTCGTCGTGATATTCATTTTTCAAAAATTCAATCAAATCTTCATTTATTTCAAAGACGACCAATTTCGCATCTTTGCGCATGCGACGAAGAATTTCAATGGAAATATTACCAACACCAGCACCGTATTCTACGATCAATTTTGAATTTTCGAAATCGATCGGCGCAAGAACTTTATCCACCACAAACTGACTGCTCGGAAATGCAGCACCCAACATCACCTGTTGAAAACGTACGAAAAAAAAAACTTGAGATGAGTTTAATCATATTTAGACATTTTTAAAGGTTAAAATCGCAAAAAACGGATTCACGTGAAAATTAAAATAAATGCAGAAAATGGTGAAAATAAAATGATAGCTTACCGGTTCCTTGAGGAAATTTTTGGCAAATACCAAAACTTGCTTCCGTTTTGATGGTAGCTTTGAAATGATGTTGCCTTGGTCGTCGTAAATGAACTCTTCGGCTCCAATGGCAATATTAAAAAGTCCTCTCAAAACGTGTGACGCGTAAAACGAGAAATTAGCCATCACTTCCAAAGCCATTTTTTGTCACTTGTTAGTTGATAACTCGAACGAAAGTTGAGTATTTTTTTGAAGTGCAAATTTTTGCTAACTGGTTTTTTCGATGATTTGAGCTCTTTTTTAATTTCGAGAAATTAAAAAAAGTAGATCTATTGGAACAATATAATTAATCTAACAATTGATTTACGAATGTATTGTGTCACTTTTGAACGGCCGAATACAAATTGAAGCATTGTGTTGCTTAGCACTGTTTTTATAGCCGTTTATCAGCGCAGAAAAAATACATTTTTTATAATCAGTGCGATTTTTTTTTATTCGTTCAAAAATTTTGAGTCGTGTACCATGAGTCGACAGATTCGCATTGGAATGATCAAAGCTATGTATTGAGATAGTGAGAGCAGTTGTTTTGATCAACTCAATACATGAGATGTGAATAGATGATTAAAC